CATTTGGTACAATAACGCTCCCTGTGAGTTTTCGACTACCGGCAATTATTCGAAACTCTTGGCGCAAGCTTCTTAAGTCTATGGGCACACTTTCTTTGCGACATACGCCTGTGCATTCCTGGTTGCAGATTTTTCTAAAGTGGGGTGCGCGGTATTTCCCCCGGTCTCCCCTACACTCAATTATCGCACTATCTACTATGTTTTGTATAAACGGGTGTATTTGAATGTGAAGATTTATAAATTATCCATTATGAATTAAAATTGTGCATTATGCATTAAGAGTTAGGTAAACCCACCTTAACATGAAAATATAATTTTACAAATATCGAATAATAACAACAACAACAGAAACAAATCTAATAATCAACCATCCAAAAACTTTTTTTTTCAGTTATACATCTAAACCCCATACTTTGTGAGTGGCTTGCCATCACAAGTATGGGGTCTACATGTATAACTGAAAGAAAAGACCCTTGGATGGTTGATTATAACAATTTTCCTTTATGATAACAGTTCTGGTACCTTTTCTCATCTTTCATCTGGGACTATGAGGTCTCACTCTCAATATTGGCCATCGGCCTAATATATGTATTTGCCATAGTGACATCAAATTCATAATTATTTTGCATTGTAGATACCTATTATTGTTCATCGCCAATAATATTTTTAACTTTTCCCAATGTCTGTTATTATGGATGGTTCAAATTTGCCATTTCCTGTTTGAAATATTTCCATTTTGTTGATAGAAAGCTTTCCTTTAGTTGTTTTTCTTTAAGTTCCATTCCATTCTTCATCCGTATTTAGTACAACTAGAATTGGAAACTGTTTCTAGGATTCATTCACCAAGTAACATCTTATTTGTTTCAATGTTGACGTCTCTGTTTATCATAGGATTCCAAATGAAGCAAAACCCTCTTACTTATAAGTATGCCTTCCTATACCAAAACCAATATAGATCGATCAGGAATTTCACTGCCACAAAATCTATATTATTATTGATAAATGAGCTCTTCTTTTTATTTTTCAAGGTTTTCTTTTCACTTTTTCCAAAAATATCAAGTACCAACCCACCATTAGTAACCTACCTAACTAACAATTGTTTGTTTCATGCTAAACATGTTCTTTTGCAAAATCATAGTTAAACCCTGATTCCTAGTTGACTCACCATACCATTGGTTACCACGGATAGTGAAACTAGCCGCAAGTAGGTTAAAGTTAAACTTAACGCATAGGTACCTACCTAATTGAATTGATATGGAAGTAGTTTTTCCAGAACTTCTCCGGTTATCACGTACTTAGATATCTATATTGGTTCTTAATATAGAAGAACGGATGGATGGAATAACCCAAGTAGCACATAATATTGGGTAAACATCGTTTTTCAGTTGGGCCAATATTTATTCATTTTTGTTGCTAAATCAACACAGTACCAATATTGGGGCAACGTTGGTTTCAACTATGTGGAAACAATATTTAAAAATAATCTTGTACCAATATTGTTTTCATAGATTAATTAACTTTCCAGTAATTTGAATATTGGCTCAAGACTTTTCACTACAATATTGATTTATGAAATATTGGCCAAATATTACATTTTATATTATTGAAGCAATATTATAATATAATATTAATTCAATATTGGCATTCAATTTTTTATTGATATTCAAATTCACTTCAAAAACTTTGTACACCCAATATTTATTTTCAATTTTTTCACAATATTGATACTTTTTAAAAAGCCCAATGAAGGGCCAATATTAACATACTAATTTTTACCAAGGTTAGATTTTCTGAATTGAAAATGTTGGTCCAATATAGGGTATTCAATGTTTTTTCGGAGTTCTGTCAAGCAATCAAGTGAGGAAAATAGATGGCGACTCTGTCTTCATTTTATCTGTCTCAAACCTAGTCCCGGGATGAAACCAAAAATTGGTTGTTTTCTCTCTGCGGGACTTAACCGTGCTGATGAGTTGTGATACAGCGAAACGGGTCCACGGATGGTGCGGCAGAGAGAAAACACTTCTCAGTCGGTCCTTATAATTGGTCCGTTACCCTAATTAAATATAATATAAAGCCAAGATTTATGTACAACTTTGGGCCAATATTGGTAATTTTAATTGGCTGTATATTGCATAAAGTTCTTGATATGATATTGATTTTTTTTTTTGGGCCAACATTTGGTTACGTTATTGTACCAATGTTGGTATTTGTATTTGGGTATATATTGACATACGTTCTTGGACAAATATTGCAGAATGTCCACATCTTTTATGGGGCCAACATAGAGAATCTTGACTTGGGCCAACAAATCCTAGTTATTGTCCCAATATTAGCCCAACATGGGAGTGCTACTTGGGAAGTCTCTCTAAATTTTAATGCAGTGAATACAAATATTTGTCAACGAGAATCTTGCATGAGTAGGAAACTAGATGCAGCAATTAAAAATTGGAATGTACAAGAACGCATGGCAATATCCCCCTACTATTATGTGAAGAAGATTCTGAAGATTGATTTAGCAGTCGAAACCTGATTACGTAGGTACAAATTTTGAAAGGAAACAAAGGTTTCTAGATTATCACAATTTTATTTTAATGAAACCGTAAGTAACATGTTCCAGCAGATGGTGCCTTCTTCAGACGGAATAGGTTACTAAACTATAATATAAGCTGAGCTAGAATATAATATACAATATAGCAATAGCAGAAAATCATGACAATGTTTATAAATTTAAGAATTGAGAACAATTATCAGCATGCAATAATAGTTCGTTCAATAATATACCAGACATTTTCCTTTTATTCATATATGTACATGATCTCAAGATAATTCAATTTCTTGGATTTATTCTCTTTGTGCAAAATTTTAAAATCTGAGGCATGATTTTCTGAACAGAGTGTTATTTTTCATGAAGCTAGGATTGATGTACTTTCTTCAATTCTTGTTTTGAAATATCTTCTTGTTTGACCAATATATACTTCCGGACAAATACCACATTCTGATAAGTACTCCTAATTTGGATAGTTTATTCAATCCAGATTTTGGGTTTAGTTTACCTAATTTGTTATTGGTTCTAAAAGCAGTTATTATCTTATTTTTGGAAATCTTTTTCGAAATAGTACCGGTATAGATTAATATTAATTTTGGTCGGATATAGTATTGGATGATGCATAGAACAAATTGATTGCCACGGTTTTTTCTTAACTAAATCATCTACAAAACCAACACTAAATCTGTTATTGACTGCAACCTGTGTTTAATAAAATTGAGTTCCTTCTTGAAATTGTCTATTGACAGTGGAACATTTAAAAGTCTGTGTACAAACGAATTAAAGGCTGCAATTTAATGAGTGATTGAATTTATTATGTATAACTGTATCGGTGTGTCATGTCTTATGAAAAATAGAAAATTTATGAATATCGTTTTCACTAGTTATGGTTAAATCTAAAAAGTTAATGCATTTATTATGCCTTGTCTAATTCGACAGTGAATTTAATTTTAGGGTGAAGCTTGTTGATGAATGACAAATGTTGATTAAACTGTCTATAAGTTCCTGAAAAACAAGTAATGTTATCAACAACATGTCGATGTCAATATAGAAATCTCTGACTTAGTGGATAATTAAATATTAACTTTTTTTCAAGAGTGTGTTGATTATTCGATTGTTTCATCGAGTAGAACAACTAGAACACTAAGGGCGGGTATTATAAAACTGATTTGACAGTTAACTTGAAGTTAACTTTTTGAATTACATGTAATTCCAGAAGTTAACTTTAAGTTAACTCTCAAAGTAGTTTTATAATACCCGCCCTAAGAAACAAATTTTTAACATCAAAATATAATAATTTAGATTTTTTTTTTACATTTTCATTACAGTATTGTGACAGGACATTTATCGAGTTTTTTGAAAGTTTTGTTGAAAAAGCATTAATAAAGGATATAACCGGTCTAATAGGGTAACTGGTCTTTGTATATTTTTATCAAAAGATAAAGATTAGGGGCTTGAGAATTCATTACTATATCAAATTTTGCTTATCAAAATCATTGAAAATTTAAACTTCTTGGATAGGTAGTTATCTTAATCAACTTTTGGTAATGGTTTGTTTGTTTTCTGAAATTATTGGTATGGTATGGTATGGTTACAACTTACAGCAGATGACTTTTCTTTAAGTATCTGGTTTTGGTGAAGATTTGATTTTTTTGGTATTATTTTGAATTTAGTTGACAACGTTAATCTCTCTAGATAAATGACTTTATGGTTTTTTGGATGGATGTTTTTCAATAGTTTGAGAAAACAAATATTCCTGAGAGTCATCTGCAGAAGCAACCATGTACTGAAACATGTTACACGGTTTCATTTAAATAAAATTGTGGAAATCTAGAAACGTTTTTGTTTCCTCTCAAATTTCCTTCTAAATGCGAAGTACTGTAGGACCGAATAGAACAAAAAAACTGCATAGTTCCATAGTTCAGAGGTCTCGTCACTAAAGGATGCCAAAAACTTTTTGGAAAAGAATGACAGGCAGGTCAGAAATGAAAACGATAACAAACCAGAGAATTAGAGAAATTATGAATGTAAGAAGCATATTGGTAGATGATATCAGAGACAATAACAACTGATTTGGTTTGGTACGTACAAAGAATAAAGAATGGTATAGATACGAGTATACTTAAATTATAGGTTCCTACTCGAGCAATTCATCGAGGACCAAATAGAATTCAATTTCTTACAAATAAATTTTCACTAAGCTTGAAATATTCTGACATAAACTTTAAAAAAGTAGTTCAGATGTATTCAAGACAGATTCCTTTTTTTTCAATTCAAGAATAAATGGACACAAAAGTACAAAAATAGATTACCTACCTACTTTTGCACATGGCAATACCGCCATAAGCCATAAAAAAAAAAAACAATGATTATAACAATCCCCGCATCGTACATTGTCAGTTTCCAAAAACCAAATCCAAAAATAAAGCCAAAAAGTCACATGTATTCAGCCCCCCTTTGAATTATTATTGGCTGCGTACTACTAAAAAGGGCTTCCCTCCGATTGGTTCGAAGGCACGCGCTAATAGGGCGTAGCTTCCTGACAAAGGGGGCTCTATAAAAACCCGAAAGGCCCCGGTGGATCTTCAGATTCGACCTGACCACCCTCAGCAGCGGTGCAAGTTTAAAAAAGTGCATTCTTCTTTCTCTCGTATTTCGTATAAAGTTACGCGAGAATTTTTCTACCTGCGAATCGTGAATTTCGTTCGTGCTAAAAATAATTCGGTGACAAAATGGAAAATCCAGAACACTACTCAACATATTTGTACTTCCCAGCAACTACTACTGAAGTGTTGCCTCAAGATTGTTGGGGTTCATCTCCAGCTTCCAGCTATGACAGTTTGAGCGACGAGAACTTCCAGCAAACAGGAAGTCCCGGAAAATCTGGAACCAGAGGAAGAGTATCGCCTCAAATTTTGAGAAGACGCCGATTGGCTGCCAACGCCAGAGAACGTCGTCGTATGCAAAGTTTGAACCAAGCTTTCGATCGTCTCAGAACTTTTCTACCTCAACTTGGCCAGGACAGACAGTTGAGCAAATTTGAAACGCTTCAGATGGCTCAGACCTATATTTCTGCGTTGTATGATCTATTGGAGGCGCCTAATTCAAGATAAGTTTGTTTTTAGTTTTGTTTTTTTATTATTTATTTTTAAACCAAAGAAATTTATTGCCAGTGTTGTAACTTTGTACCATAGATTTAACAGTAATTTATTAAATTTGTGATTAGGATTTAGATTAATGTATTTTTACTTGCGCGCCGTCCACTTATTTGAAAATATTGTTAAAATTTAATTACTAAGAGTTATCTAGATATTTAATTATTGATATCTTGTGTTCTTTACCATAAAAAGTATTAATTATAATCTATCAGTATTATTGTATTATTAATATTATATTAATGTTAGGTTTTTAGTGAACTTGATACAATGTATATTTTTTGTAAATTATAATTTTACAGCATAGTGCCAAATTTTGTGTCATATCAAAGGTAGTGAGATAAGTTAAATAGGTATTATGATAAATAAATATACAAAAAAAATTTGGGTTGTTTTATTACTTTTTAAAGTCGTAGGTATCTACTGGTTGTGAAAAATATAATTTCCAAACTTATTAAAGGTGATACTCAAACTTTTAAAAAAATATATAATAAACTGATTTATTCATTTTCAAGAAAACTTGTGAACCAATTTATGTAGGCAGGAACCTAATCATCAAAAAACTTCTGGTGAAAATTTCCATTGAGGTGTAGGATCTGAAGCTAACAAGCGTAATGTAGTACCTACAGGTAGTATTAGGTTTTTTCTTATGATGATGAACCTGATGGGTAAGCAAAATTTGATTTATTTTTGGCAGGTAGTTTTTCTGTTGAGAACATTTTCTTGAGTTTTTACTATTTTCACTTTTTTTAAAGGTAATTTTTCATGCCAAAATTAAACGAAAGACAAGAAATTATCCTCTATTGCAATAATTAATAAAATTATAAATTGATAAAAAAGTGAGCCATCACGAATAGAAAAATAACCCTCTACTTTTACAATAAATACCCTTCCTGTAGATGAAACTGAATTTTTATCAAATATCTATCTATTAGATTTCCTTTAAACATGCCCTCTGCAAATGCCTCTGATCCATGTTGTTCTCGGTCTTCTTTTTTTTTTCCTCTCTAGAATAAGCATCTAATTTCACACTAATCTTAGGACCCTTTCCCTTCAACGTATCCATACCAGATAGTTTTTCTTCGATATATTTTTCATCATTCCAGTAGTTTACTCTATGCTTGACATTATAGGTCAAAATACCAGTGGCATTTATTATCTATGTACTATCTATATCAAAATTTGTGTTCTTGAGTTTTTCATTTTGTAACTTATTGATTAGGTCATTGTTTGTTCAGGAAGGATTCCTCACATTACCATGTCTCCTTGGTGCACAAAAATTATAAAAATTCTATGAATCCCAACATCCGCACAACCCAAAAGCTCTCTAATGTATGAAAGTAAAAATTTATTACAATTTACATTCATTTGCCAGATGAGTAGAAAGCTCTCCATGTTCTCAAGAGTTTTGTTAAACACGCAAAGTCAGTTCTAAAGCTAAAGGCCTATTATATAGTTTAGAAGTCTTATGAAGATGTTTTTTAGTCTTTGGTCTCACATGCTTTGCTGACTCTGGAAGTGATTTTGCATTGCATTGCTTTATTTCTAGTTTTGTTTGTTGTTTCATGCCTATATTGATTTTTTCTATATGCACTACTTGTGTGTGTATTTTTCAAGCTTTGTCAACGAGTTTTTTGTTTGGACACTAAAGCTGAATTGATTTTAAATCAGAATTCAATGCCCTAAGTACAAAATAAAACCAGATTGCATTCTGTGTTTTAACAGATTTTTTCTACTATCCTTTATTTTTAGATTTCATTTCGAAACTTGCCACCCACGTTATCTGAGTTCTGAGTAAATAAGAGACAGATTTGTGAAAATCACGGAAACACAACAATAACAAATTTATTGAGGGGGAATGTTATTTCCGTAAAGCTCCCCTTCAATAAATTTGTTGATGTGTTGCGGCGATTTTTAGAAATCTGTCTCATAACGCGAATAACGTGGGTGGCAAGTTTTGAAATCAAAGCACGTATGTATACCAGACCTGGTAGAGGTGAACGATTGACGTATTTAGTTACAATAATATTGTTATTAGGAATGTATGATTACTTTTTACAATTTTCCAGGAGTTTATAATAATCTCAATATTCAATAACCACAGTAGAATGAAAGCCATGGTTCTCTTTTGCTTCCATTACGAACGTTCCTAGTTGATGCATGGTACCTAACTTTGAAAACTTGTTCCTACTTAATAATAAGTACAAACGGTTCCTCAAGTTTTTTGAAAGTTTTGAATACTTGACAATACTTTGAATTATTTTTTTCTGTGGTAGGTACTGGGTCAAATGTTTTAAAAATTATACGTCTACAGGGTGTGTCAGAAATGGTGTTACAAACTCAAAATAAGAAAAAAAGTTCCTATGAATATTGGTCCGAAAACGTTTCGTTTCCAAGATAAATAAACCAACCCAAACTAACCCAAAAAAGATCAACCCCAAAAAAAAAATTCACAATATGGTGCTTTTCGAATAATATATATAATTATCGGTTTATAACGTTCTACTTCTTCCGATTCCCGATCTCCAACCATCTCTGTCAATCCAGGCATTCTCCTCCAAGCCTCTGTCTCTCATTTTTTCGTCCACTCCACTTCTCCAGCTTCTTCTTGGTCTGCCACGTCTTCTTCTTCCCCCTGGCTTCCACCGCCATTCTTTGTACATGTCCGAACCAAATCAGCTGCTTGTCCTTTTAGCCCAAGAAATTTATGGGTTTTTCAAAAAAATTTGCGAGGGCAGGCTGATTTTTTAAGGGCTGATTGGAGACTGTGTCCTAAGTATTGAGCCAAAAAATCAACACTCGAAAGCCTTGTGCGTTCGACCCTATTGGCCTTTTTCATATTTATTTTTTTTCGACAAAATGACCTCAACAAAACTTGTAGATATTCTGATCAACTTTGCCTTATGCCTTTTTCGCTAGCTATTTTAGTTTAGGCGTTGCGACCATTTTAGTGCTCCAGAATTCGCAAAAAAATTAAATAGCAAACCTGCAGATTTTTGTAACTTTAATAAAATTACTGATAATGTACTCCATTACGTTTTCGGTTTCAGTCCAAGAAATTATACATTACATCACTTATCCGGTGAAATTATTTTCCCGGAGTGAAAGCGTGAAATCGAAATGATGTTTTTTTTGACAATACTGGGACCATACTGGGACCTGTGACCTGTTTGAAAAGTGACAAAATGTATTTTTTTTCTACAATCGGGCTAGAAAGTAGACTTTGTCGATTAGATTTGTACTCGCAAAGTAGACGTTTCTTGATGACCTCCACTTTGCCGCTTATTAGAGCGTCAAACTACGTCAAAATCCTTCACTTTGTCGCTCTAGAGCGGCAAAGTAGTAAAAGCGCTTGCTTTTGATACTGGTTTCTTTGAGCCTGAACTATTTTTTATCAAATGCGATTGTAAAAAAATCAAGTGTGCATTTGCCAATATCAACAATATCTTTCGATCGGCAAAGTACCACTTTGCGCTCCTAATACACAAATAGCTATTGTGCAACCGTCCGCGAAATTCAATTTCGCGAAACTCCACATTTTACAGACATTTTACCTGCAAAATGTGTCAAATCCTTAGAAACGCTATGCATGCCTAAATAACGACCTGGAGATAATAGAGGACTGGGGTAACAAAAACCTTGTACAGTTCAACGCGCAGAAAACCCAAGCAGCTCTGTTTTCAAAAAAGACCAGCACCGGTGAGCCAAACATCATGCTATCTGGAAGTGCTGTCACATTACAGAGTCAGTTGAACATCTTGGGGGTTACTGCAGAGACCAACATGTCTTGGCACAGTCACGTGGCAGATATTGCTAAAAGGGCCTCCCAAAAGCTGGGGGTGCTATTTCGTACAAGACATCTGTACACACCAAGCCAATTGCTGACACTCTACAAAGCCCAGATTCGACCAACTATGGAGTACTGCTCACATATATGGAGTGCAGCACCCAAACATACCTTAATGCTTTTGAATACCGTGCAAAAACGAGCTATCAAGCTGATCAATGACCCCGCACTTACTCGTAACTTGGATGGTCTCGAACATCGCAGAACGGTGGGCGATTTATCTCTCTTCTACAGGTACTATCACGGAAAATGCTCTGAAGAGTTGGCACGTATGATTCCACCGAGAGTAGCACCTACCAGGCGAACCCGTCAAACAGACGGTAACCATGAATTTACTGTCAAACTAGAGGCACCAAGAACCTCATTATATCAGAATTCATATCTCTGGAGAACAGCATCGCTGTGGAATAAACTCCCTGCGACGGTTTTCCCTGCAGGTTACAACCTGAACCGTTTCAAGACCAACATACACCGACATTTCCGCGCACTTGCCGCTTCTCGAGCGTGATAGGACATTTCCTTGCGAGTGCGCATATCCGTAAAAAAAAAAAAAAAAAAAAAAAAAAAATGCCACAATGTCCACCAGGTCAATTAAAATTTTTCAAATGCCTAAAAGGCCGTACAAGCGAAAGAAATAAAGTTACAATAAAATATCATCAAGCAAAGTAATAGAGAATTTGCAGGTTTGCTATTTAATTTTTTTGCGAATTCTGAAGCACTAAAATGGCCACAGCGCCTAAAGTAAAATAGCTAGTAAAAAAAGTCATGAGGCAAAGTTGATCAGAATGTAATTATCTACAAGTTTTGTGAAGGTCATTTTGTCGAAAAAAAATAAATAAGAAAAAGGCCAATAGGGCCGAACGCACAAGGCTTTTGAGTGTGATTTTTTGGCTCAATCAGCCCTGGAAAAATCAGTCTGCCCTCGCAAAATTTTTTGCGGCCCAGGTATAAATTTCTTAGGCTATTTATATCATCTGCTATTCTGTGTTTTACGTCCATAATCTCCCTAGTTCTAAGATTTGTTATCCTTTCCATTTTTGACCTGCCTGCCGATCTCCTCCAAAAGTCCATTTCAGTTGCTTCCAGCAATTTTACGGTTCTGTTCTTCAATGGCCAGACTTCTGAACTATATTATGTGACTATGCTTTTGACTATGGTGTTGAAAATTCTAGTTTTGTTAGTTATGTTGATATTTTCGTCCCACAGTACACCATTTAGTAGGGATATTGCCTTGCGTCCTTGTATATTCCGATCTTTAATTGCTTCGTCTATGGGGTTCCCTTTTGTGAGATTTTCATGCCCAAATATTTGTATTCAGTAAATTGTTTTATTTCTTG